TATGTCCTTGCCAGGCAGGGGCTTAAACTAGGGAGCTATCTCCAGGATCCAATATTTTATTATTATTATTATTATTTAATTGCCTTTATTTATGTCCTTGCCAGGCAGGGGCTTAAACTAGGGAGCTATCTCCAGGATCCAATATTTGAAATGTTTTTCTTTTTTCTCTTTTATTCATTTATTTATTTGGTACAGGGTCTTAGTATGCAGCTTGGATTCATAGTGATCTTCATGTTTCAGCCTCCCCACAGCTGGGATTACAGACGTGCACCACCACGCCCAGTGTTGATGGCTGTCTCTACATGGCCCAGACAGGGACAGCACGACATGCTCAACTGTGACTACAACCAGGAACCTTGCACTTCCCTAGGCATGGGGCTTAGGTTGCTGAGCTGTCTCCATGGCCACAGGCCTTATATTTAAGTCTTCAATGTTGAGTGGATTTGGGGGCCAGATGAGACATGGGTGTCTAATTTCATTCCTCTAAATGAAAAATATACAGTATTCACCAAGATGGAGGTATTAGTCAGTGTTGCTGCTCTAGGAATTTTGGGAGTGGGACCAATTAGCCTGCTCGGCCCAGTGAGAATTCAAGAATCCACATAATAGTGAATGGCAAAGTCATAACCAGAAGGGGCATGAAAATGGCAAAGGACAGCAGAGTGACCAAGGGATGAGTCTCTATGGAATGTGGAGTGTGTTACTATTCTGGAACACAGGAAATCAGAGTTTTCAGATCCTTCAGAAGGAACATAGCCTTCCTGACTTCTGAATTTTAGCTCAGTGTAAACTTCGACATCTAGAACTCTGAGGTCAACAATTTGCACTACTTGAAGACCTTGAGATGCGAGTTTCGTTAAAGCACCAATGAGACACTTATAGAAGGGGAAAGAACACCTTTTCCTGCCCTAGAGATGTCTGTCCTCTGATCTCCCAAATTTTTTCACACAGTTATTATTTGGTGCCCATTTTAACAAGTGACATGAGGTACTTTATGTTAAGGAGCGCTAGTACCTGAGTTCTTCTTCGGTCAAAAATGCTTGATCTTGTGAATCTGCACATGTGAAATTTGGCCTCCGCTCCCACAAAAGGTGGTGGACAGGAGAGGAGTTACTTTGCTATCTATTTGTTCCTTTTTACTCTAAATTTGGACTCAGGATACAAAATGAGAAAAAGACACAGTTATAGTAATGGAAAAGGACAGAGGAGATGTAGGATATGCGCCTTGGCTCAATACCTAAAAGAAATTAATAGGAAGTCCTGAAAATATTTGTTTTGTTGAGGACCCAAAAAAGAAATTGAGATGCAGACTGAGATCACAGAATTATCAAGCAACAGGGACACAGGAGCTGTGTATTTTATGCTATTTTCTGATACTGTCTTTCTTCCCACTTTATAAGCCATGGGTACATTTGTGAGGTTGAAGTGTCCACATGCAATGAAAATATGGAAAGTAAAAACATGCGGGTGGCAGCTCAGTCTCACATGCATACCATGTGATTTAACACAGATTATTTGCATACTCCAGTGATTATATTTGACCTCTGTGAAAGAGAGCATTTAATATATTAGAGGATAGAGCCAGCAAGATAGCTCACCAGTCTAAAGCTCCTGCGTAGGCAAACTTAGGCAACTGTGCAAGGACAGTGGTTCAATCCCCAGAGAGTCATCTAATGGCTGGCAAGGTAGCTCAGCAGACTAAGCAGCTGCTTTGGAAGTGCAGGGACCAGGGTTCTATACTCAGTACCACATGCCACAGTGACCCTGCCCCATGTACACTGAGCCGGCCACTGAGTAAGGTGTGGTGGCATATGCCTGTAATCCCAGTGTTGAGGAGGCTGAAAACAGGATGATCACTATGAGTCCAAGCTGTGTACTAAGACCTGTATCACATAAGTAAGTAAATAAATAAATAAATAAATAAATAAATTTGTTTTAAAAAGGATGGCCTGGAGATTAACTACAACATAATTGTGCATTATACATGACTTTTTTGTCTGTTTTGTTTTGGTTTTTTTGGTACCAGGGACAGAACTCAGGACTGCTTGTTTGCAAGGCAGTTGTTTAAGATGCTACTATTTCCCTGGCCCCTTTTATACATGTTTTATACAAGATAACCACTTGTTTTTATGCAGTCTGTAATGTCATAGAATGAAGATACTGTGCCAGTTATGAGCTAGATGTCATTATTGTACTAAAAGTCATCATATTTGTCTACAACAACCATGGACCTCATTGTAATATATAATATCTATTCTGTGAAGGGTAATTTCTTATGTACTAACGAAAATACCTATCTTTTTTATCCATCTGCAAAGATACCTACTTATGGGTCTCTCTAAAAATGACAGTTTACACTTATGCCTTTAATGCCATTCTACAAGCTTAGAGTTTATTTTAAAATATTCTTCTTTTAGGAGCTATGGAGATAGCTCAACAGTCTAAGCACATGCATGGAAATACAAGGACCTTGGTTCAGTCTCCAGCACTGCATGCCTTGAGATCCCGTGTAAAGCCAGGCACCAAAAACAAACATGGTGGCGCATGCCTATAATCCCAACACTGGGGAGGCTGAGACAGGAGGATCACTATGAATCTAAGCTGCAACTATATAAATAGGGCCAGCCAAATAGCTCAGTAGATTAAAGGGCCTGCAAGCA